TTATAAAAATAATGTATGTATATAATTTTCTCCTAACATTAATTGCATTAGCAAATATTTTATTTTTTTTACTGATTATGACATAGCTAACGATCAACAATATAAGTGACTGACAAATAATTTAATAATAATAGATTTGATCATCAATTATCATTTAAATATATTATAACTAATAAGTTTTATTATTTTTACAAATTAGCATTAGCAAATATTTTATTTTTTTATTGATAATGACATAGCTAACAATCAACAATATAAGTGACTGACAAATAATTTGATAATAATAGATTTGATCATCAATTACCATTTGAATATATTATAACTAATAAGTTTTATTATTTTTACAAATTCATAATATTTTTATTAATTTGATTACAAGCTATAATATTTTATATATTTTCATTTTATTATGTTCATTTTGTTTTTAGATATTATTTTAGATATTATTTTAGATATTATTTTTATATATTTAAACTTTTTTCTTAGAATTATATATTTAAAAATACATTTCTTATAAAAAATATATTTATATTCTTATTTTTCATAATAAATATTTTCATAATAAATATAATGTATTATATAAAAGAATATTATATTTTTTCTTTAAATAAATATTGCCGATACAATTTTCTTTTTTTTATTTTTTATTTAATTTTTACATTTTCTTAGATACATTAAAAAATATTTAATTTTTATTAGAAAGATTTTTTTCTATCTTTAATTATTTCTAAGTTAGCTCTTAGGGAATCCATTTTTGTTGGTTGATTTTGAGCCACTGCAATTAAAAAAAGATATGAGGAAATATGTAGCATAAAAGGAATATTTAAATTTTTTGAAGATAGAAAATCTATCGAAGACGATCATTTCTCTATTTTGTAGAAACATTCATGCATATATATTTATATTTAGTTTTATAAATCCTTATCAAACATGGCAAGTTTACTAAATGTGAATAAGTATTTTTCAAGAACAATAATATCTATATGAATAATATGATATATATATATATATATCTTTCATTTAATATTATACTAATTGCTAGCTAATTTTTCAGTTTGCTTGCTAAATTTATAAAAAAAACAACAAATTATTATAAAAAAGACATTTCTTTCAAAATCTTACTATGATTCTATTTTATATTAAATAATTCTTATTCTATTCATAATTCTTATTTTAAATATTTTTTTTTCAGTTTAAATGTGACATTAAAAAATTGATATCATTGTTACAGATAGCTATATATAAAGCTATGTATAAAAAGCGATAAACAAAATAATACAAAAAAAAAGTTCAATAAGATCGATTGCAAAATCTTTTAATCCTTATAGTTAAATTACATTTAGATTGAAAAATATTTATTATAGATGAAGAATTTTATTTTTCAAATTATTTAAAAATCTCAGCAAAAATGTGTTATTACGGATTAATTACTATTTAAGTTTAAAAACTGGCATATATTATACATCTAAAAAAATAGCAAAGAAATAAAAAAAAAGTCATTCCGGATTGGCTCAAAAACTTCTTAAAAAGAGTGTTATGTTAATAATAGCATAATATTTAACATTATTAATATTAACAACGAAATAAATAAATAATAGTATGATTTTCATATTCGAAAAAATAATATTAATGTTATTTTCTTTTATTAAATTTCTTTCATAAAGTCTTTTTTAATATAATCAATTTATGAAAAAGGCAAAAATAAAAAAAACAATACGTAAATAAAAGAAAATTAATATACATGTTCTAATATCTAGATAATTGTTTTTTTTAATGTTATTAATTAGAAATAGAATAATAATCTTAATTTTTATTATATCTTATGTGAAAAAAAATGTTCCTTTTATATCATTTCTTCTCTTTCTATTATTTTTATGTATTCTTCAAGTTTATAAAGTTTTATTAAAATTGATGTTTAATCATTCAATTTTAGAGTTCAAATGTGATATTTTCTTCAATATTTTTCTTTCGATAATAAATATTTTTTTTAAATTAACTATAAAAATTAAAATATTAACTTATTTAATATATTTTGTTTATACTAAAACTCATTCATATTATTTGAAGAATTGATCTTTGAACGATAGAATCTCTTTAATTTTATTTTTATTTTATAATTTACCATAATTTTTTTTACTTTTCAAATAAGAATGAATGACAAACTTACTTTTATTTATCATTTTGATTATTTTATTTAGAAATCCTTTTTCTTTTAAATTTTTTTCATTTCTTTAGAATTAAATTGCATTTGATCAGCCATTTTTTTTTTCTTTATATACAATTTTCTGATATGACTTTCTATGATATAAATTTCTCTATGTTATAATTATGACTATAAATAATAATTAATTAATTAAAAAATAATACAATTGGACAATAATTGGATAAAAACAATAAAAAATAAAATGTATTTATTAAATAATATAAAAATATTCTTTCCATAAATATGAATATTTATATAATAAATAATTAACTATCTAAAAAAAATGTGTATAGTTCAATTAAATGGAATCTATTATTGTAAAATAGAAAAAAATAGAATTATTTTAAAATTAAGATCCGAATAATATTGAAATGTTATATATATGTTTAATCAAGTGTTACGAACTATTGATTATTTGATTAAAGTAATTATATACATGTATTCATTATATACAAAATGTTACCAAATGTTGGTACAATCCAAAAAAAAATAAATTTCTATAGATGAAAAAAGAAATCGAAAATGTAAAATTTTTTCATACGAAACTCTATTTTAGAATAAATCAATATTGAAGATATATTGACTATAGTTACAATTAATTATATTGTTTAAATTAGTTTAGATTAATTTTTGTTGCATATATATATTATATAAATTTATCAATATATTATATACATTTATTATTATTAATATATTATTATTAATATATCAATTTTGAGTAAAATTTTCAATTCCTTATCGTTTTATCGATATGACAATATATAATAGAAGCAAATATTGTCAATGGAAGCAATATAAATCATATTAATCAGTTATGATTTATTAATTTATTTA